CGAGTCTTTCATTTACACTGAATATTTTCTTTTTTTTTTTTTTTTTTTTTTTTTTTTTATTTTATTTTTCTACTAAATTTTTAGTCGGAGAGAGAATCGCTCGGGTAGAAAAGTTGGTTCTAAATACTGGCCCCCGACTGGGTCACTGAAACCCAAAACTCGGGAAACTAGACAATGGCGAGGGTCGAAATTAAAATTTGGGCCACATTGCTTTTTATGGCTTCTAAACTAATAATTACAAACGATTTAACAACAAAAGAGTAAATAACATTTAAATTTAAAAACTAATATGTTAGAAGCATCCTTTTCTAAATTTAACCATAACTATAGTTACTCTCTAAATTTGAATTAGTAAAAATATTTACTAATTTAAATTAGTGACTGATTTTTTGCTTTTGAATTAGTAAAAAATTCAGTAAAAAAAAATTAAATTAGTAAAAAGTCAGTCACTAATTTAAATTAGTAAATATTTTTAGTAAATGTGTTACAAATAAATAGTAATTTCTACTAATTTATTAGTACATTTCACTAATTTAAAAGCAAAAAGTCATTTACTAATTTAAATTAGTAAATATTTTTAGTAAATATTTTAATAATAAATAGTAATTTCTACTAATTTATTAGTAAATTTTACTAATTTAAAAGCAAAAAGTCATTCACTAATTTAAATTAGTCAATATTTTTAAAGTAGTAAATATTTTTAAATTAGTACTTAAATATTTTTAGTAAATATTTTACTTATAAATACTAAATAGTAATTTCTACTAATTTATTAGTAAATTTTACTAATTCAAATTTAGTAGCAGTAATTATACTGATTATTGTTATTGCACTGATTATACAGTCTAATATTGTCTGATAACAATTAATCGTCTAGTTTTAATAATTCTTCGGAACAGAAGAATCACTAGTAAATAGAAATAGAAAGTATGACAAAATTCTGTTTAGTTTTTCTTTTAAATTATAGTATTGTACTCACGAAATTCCCCTTCTGTTCATGGTTTGAAAAATAAGCTCACCTGCAAGCAGAAAAAAGAAATAATTAATTTTTTATTTCTGAAAAAAGTTTAGAAAAAAAAAATTGATAAGTCTGACTAATTTATTTACTAATTTATTTTACTAACTTATTCAGTAACTAATTTGATATAGTAAAAAGTCAGTCACTGATTAATTCTTGGAAAACTGTCATAAAATTACTTCTGATAAATTATTTAATTTAATTTTACTTAAATAAATCAAAATTAATTAAATTTCGAAAAAATGGCGTTTACAATTTTCATAAATAAATCAACTTTAAAAGGTAAAAATTTCAAAATTTCAATTTTGATTTTTGAATGAATTTCATTAAAAATTTTAAAGAACTTGGATTTTTGAAAAATTTTAATAATTCAAATTCTTTGAAAATTAGTTAAACTTTTTAATATATTTAATTAATTATTAAAAATTATGGTGTAGAAGAATTTTAGTTAAAAACACTAAAACCAATTGAATTTTAGAAAAATTACTAAAAATTAATAAAATTCTTCTCAAAAATTCAATTATGTTCGAAAATTCAAAAAAAAATTGTCAAAATTTCAATTATCTTTAAAAATAATAAAATTCTTCTCTGAAATTCAATAATTTTCAAAAATTGTAATAAAATTCTTGACAAAATTTCAAATATTTTCAAAAATTATCCTCAATTCAATTATTTTCAATATCTACTGTTTTAATAATATTTTTCAAAAAAATTCAATTATTTAAAAAAAAAATTTGATCAAATTCTATGCAAACATTTAATTATTTTTATAAAAATTGCAAATTTCATAGCAATTCAATTATTTGCAAATTTTTTTTTAAAACTTCTTCGAAATAATTCAATTATTATTTTCATAAATAATAGAATCCATTTTAGGAATTCAATAATTTTTATAAGCAATAAAACTCATGGCAGAATTTCAATTATTTTTATTACAATTTAAATCGAAAAAATGTAAATATTCTAAAAAAATTTATTAAAATTCGATGAGAAAATTTAATTAATTAAAAATTTATGGATAAAATTCTTTATGAGAATTCAATTTAGAGAAACATTTAATTATTCAATAAATTATTTATTTTCGTATGTAAAGAATTGAATTCTTATAGAATTTTCTAATAAAAATTGATTTAAAATTGAATTTTAGTTGAGAACACTAAAAAAAATTGAATTTTAGAAAAAAGTTACAAAATGATTGGAGAAATTGAATTATTTTTCAAAGTAATAACATTTTTTTGCAGAAATTCAATTATTTTCAAAATTTTATTTAAAAATTGTAGTGGCAATTTAAATTATCTTCAAAAGTAATAAAATTCTTATCAAAATTTCAATTATTTTTCAAAATTTCTTGATAGAAGAATAAATTATTTACTTTTGCATTTAAATAATTGAATTCTAGTGGAATTTTCTACATAATAAGAATTCATTGAAAATTGAATTTCAATTAAAAATTTAGATAATAAATAATTGAAGATTAGAAAAATATTATTTATTTTTTTAAAAAATAATTGAATTTCTAAGAAGAATTATATTATTTATGAAAATAATTGAATTCTTGTACAGAATTTTATATAATTCTTTTTAAATAATTGAATTCTCGCGAAAAATTTTATTATTTGGAAAAATAATTGAATTCTTGTGAAGAATTTTAAAAAAATTTTAAAACTATAGGTAATTGAATTCTTGAGAAGCATTTTATTATTTATATGCGAAAATAATTGTTACTCTTGTCTGGAATTTATTATAAATTTTTATAAATAATTGAATTTTTCTGAAAAATATTATTGCTTGTGAAAATAATTGAATTTTCGCTGTAGAATTTTATAAAAAGTTTATAAATTGATTTTCTACGAAAAATTTTATAATATATTTTAAATAATTCAATTTTTGTGATAATTTTATTACTTCTAAAAGGTTTGCGAAGAATTTTATCAAAAATCTTTTTTGGAATTTTATTAAAATTGTATAGTTATTGAAAATCATTGATTTTCGAAAAGTTTTTGAGAATAATTGAATCGTTTTTAAGAATTTTATTACAATTTTTAGAATTTTTTTTTTTATTTTAATTATTAACGAATTTAAAGTGATGCAAATTTCCCCCAAAAATTACTATTTATTAGTAAAATGAATTGAATTTACTAATTCAAAAGCAAAAAGTCAGTTACTAATTCAAATTCGTAAACATTTTTATTAATTCAAATTTAAGGAGTAGTAAATATTTTCTATTTAGTAGTAAATAGTTTTCTATTTAGTAGTAAATATTTTTCTATTTAGTAATAAATAGTTTTTTATTCAGTAGTAGACAGTTTCTTATTTAATGATAAATAGTAAATAATTTTCTTTTTAGCAGTAAATAGTAATATATTTGTTAGTCAATAGATAGTAAATAGTTTTTTATTAAGTAGTAAATAGTAAATATTTTTCTATTCAGAAGTGAATAATATTTTATTTAGCAATAAAAGTGTTCTATTTAGCAGTAAATAGTGTTTTACTTAGCAGTAAATAGAAAATAATATAAATTACTATTTATTAGTAAAATGAATTGAATTTACTAATTCAAATGGAAATAATCAGTCACTAATTCAAATTAGTAAACATTTTTATTAATTCAAATTTAGAGAGTAGTAAATATTTTTTATTTGGTAGTAAATAGTTTTCTATTTAGTAGTAAATAGTTTTCTATGTAGTAGTAAATAGTTTTGTATTTAGTAGTAAATAGTTTTCTATTTAGTAGTAAATAGTTTTCTATTTAGTAGTAAATAGTTTTCTATGTAGTAGTAAATAGTTTTGTATTTAGTAGTAAATAGTTTTCTATTTAGTAGTAAATAGTTTTCTATTTAGTAGTAAATAGTTTTCTATTTAGTAGTAAATAGTTTTCTATTTTGTAGTAAATAGTTTTCTATTTAGTAGTAAATAGTTTTCTATGTAGTAGTAAATAGTTTTGTATTTAGTAGTAAATAGTTTTCTATTTAGTAGTAAATAGTTTTCTATTTAGTAGTAAATAGTTTTCTATTTAGTAGTAAATAGTTTTCTATTTAGTAGTAAATAGTTTTCTATTTTGTAGTAAATAGTTTTCTATTTAGTAGTAAATAGTTTTCTATTTAGTAGTAAATAGTTTTCTATTTTGTAGTAAATAGTTTTCTATTTAGTAGTAAATATTTTTCTATTTAGTAATAAATAGTTTTTTATTCAATAGTAAACAGTTTCTTATTTAATGATAAATAGCAAATAATTTTCTTGTTAACAATAAATAGTAATCTATTTGATAGTAAATAGTAATTATTTTTTTATTTAGCAGTAAATAATAGTTATAATAGTAAATAATAGTTATAATAGTAAATAATAGTTATAATAGTAAATAATAGTAAATAATAGTAAATAATAAATAAATAATAGTTTATTTAGCAGTAAAAGTGTTCTATTTAGCAGTAAATAGTATTCTACTTAGCAGTGAATAGAAAATAGTAAAAATTACTATTTATTAGTTAAATCGTGGCTGGTTTAGTTATTTTTAACCAAATTCAGTTTAAGCGAGCAGTTAACAATTCCTTCTCTTCGGTATTTCACAGGAATTTCAACAAAGTTGTGTTCGAGTGCCTTTTTTTTTTGCACAATTATAAGAACCTATTATGGGGACAAAGTGCATTGCTATAGTTAGTAGTTGTTTTAAAGGGCGACGTGGTGGTTGTAAGGAAGGAAGGAAGGCTTTAATACCTGGAGTCCTGGACGAAAAAGCTGCTATCGAGCATAAGATAGTCAACGGACGTGCTCGAGTTGAACTTCTCGTTTGTCCAACCGGCTCTTTCCTCATTCGTATTCCTTGCAGAAAGGCAAGTTACAACGATAGGGGGACACGACAAATCGGAGGAGAAAGAGAAAGAGAGAGAGAGAGGGAAAAAGAGAGAAAGAATGGAAAAAAATAAGCCAGAGGAAGGGAGAGGGAGAGAGAATAAAATGCTCTATAGATAAGTCGTATCTCAAGAGGAGACCTTCGCGGACACTATTAAAAAGCCCCCAACGTACCTGCGGACGATCACACGATTCTACTCATCCGAATCCTTAACTCTATTTTATCCTCCTCAATTCAAGTCAGAGACACACTCTTTTACTGTCAAACATGATTCTCAATCTGTTAAAAGTTTTTTTTTTATTTATCGTATTCAGTGCTGTTACTGCTTCGACTGCTGCTGAGGAAACTGAAAAACGAGGTTTAATCCACGTTGATCTTACTGATAAGGACATCATTTCACCCTCTGAATTGGTAAATTTTGCACCTATTTTTCATTTACATCTCTTGTTAAAAAAAAAATTTATTGAACGAAAAAAATTCTGCCTTCTTGGGTAAACATTAAAATTTAACAAACAATGATTTTTTATCTTTTTGTTTTCTTCTTTTAAATTAATTTTTAATATCAATTTAATTTAATTTAATTTTTATTATTCTAATAAAAAATAATTTTTCTTTTCTGTTTTATTCCTTTTCGTTTTTTTACCATATAGTGAGAAAATTTTTTTTTACAACCAAAAAATAGGTTTGAATTAAATATAGGTATTTTATATATTGAATTAAACATTTTTATGGAATCAAACTTGAAGGGGTTGAATTAAGCCCGTAAATTCTGTAAAAGTCCGTAACTTTGCTTGAAGTCAGTAAAAGTCCGTTTTTAAAAAAAAAGGTCCGTAACGTCCGTAATTTGATTGAAAAAAGAACGAAAAGTTCGGAATTTGTACGATATTTTGGAAATTTTGAAAAAGTTAGAAATAATTGCAGAAATTCAATTATTTTCAAATGTAATAAAATAAAAATTATAATAAACTAAAATAAATAATAAAATAAATAATAAAATAAAAAAAAATAATAAAATAAAAAATATAAAAAATAAAAAAAAAATAAATAAATTCAATTATGTTCAACAATTTTTTTAAATTCTCATCAAAATTTTCAATTATCTTTAGAAATAATTAAATTCTTCCTTCGAATTCAATTATTTTCGGAAAAAATTTTCCTCAATTCAATGATTTTCAATTTCTATTTTCATAAAATTTTCCAAAAGAATTCAATTATTTAAAAAAATTTGTTAATAAACTTTTACACAAACTTTTAATTACTTTAAAAAAAATAATTAAAATTTCACAGGAATTTCATTATTTACCAAATTTTTTTTTATAAATTTCTTCGCAATCATTCAATTATTTTCAAAAATAATAAAATTTATCGCAGGATTTCAATTATTTTTAATAAAATTTTACAGAAATTGCTCGAAAAATGTAATTATTCAATTGTAAAAATTTAATTTCAGATCCTCGAAAAAATGAATTATTTAAAAAAATGTTTTTTTTTAAATTCCTTAAAAGAATTCAATTATTTACCCAAAATATTAGAATTTTTCACCGGAATTCAATTTTTTTCAAAAATATTTTCATAAAATTGTTTTAAAGAAATAAATTATTATTTAAAATACAATTTTAATTAAATTTTTTTGTAATAATTCAAATATTCTTTTAGATTTTAATAAAATTCTTCTCAAAAATTCAATTATTTACATAAACAAATTTTCAAAAGAATTCAATTATTAAAGATAACTATAATAAAATTAGTCACAAAAATTCAATTATTTTGAGGCATTTAAATAAAATTCTTTGCAAAATTCAATTATTTTCATTAATAACAATATTCATCAGAAGAATTCAATTATTTTTAAAAGAAATAAATTTCTCCTTGGAAATTCAATTATTTAAAAAAATTCTAATAAAATCGTTCGCAAGAATTCAATTATTTTCATAAATATAATAAAACTCATCGAAGAATTTCAATTATTTTTAATACTATTTTAAATTAATTAATCGAAAAAGTCAATTATTTTCACAAATAATGTTTTCCATAAGAATTCAATTATTTAAATGAAATTTTCATAATATTTATTATATTTCGAAAAACTTAATTATTCGCAAAGAATATTTATAAAATTCTTCTGAAGAATTCAATTATTTTCAAAAATAACAAATTTTTTTCACATGAATTCAATTCTTTTTAAACATTTTAATAAAATTTTTCGCAATAATTCAATTATTTTCATAAATAATAAAATTTTTACGGGGATTCAACTATTTTTGTAAATAATAAAATTCTTTTTAGAAATTCAATTATTTTCAGAATTTCAATTATTTTTAATACAATTTTAATCCAATTACACGAAAAATTTTTTTAAAAAATTTTATTAAAATTCGCCAAAGGAATTTAGTTAATTAAAAATTTATATATAAAATTCTTTATAAGAATTTAATTTTAAGAAACATTCGATTATTTAATAAAGTATTTATTTTTGTATTTAAATAATTGAATTCTAGTAGAATTTTCTAATAAAAATTGATTTAAAAATGGATTTCAGTTAAAATTTTAGATTATAATTGAATTTTAAAAGCATTAGAGCGTAAATTTTTATAAATAATTGAATTTTGAAAAGATTTCAGATTAAAATCTTTGAAGATTTGAATTTTTCATATTTTTAACTAACAATTCTGTAAACTTGATTTTTTTTTTTTTTTTGAGAAACTTTAATTGCGGATTTTTTTTGAAATTATTTAAAATTTTTTAATTTCTAATATATATTTAATTGAAGATTTACAAATTATTACAAATTACTTACAAATTATTGCAAAAATTCAATTATTTTCCAGAGTAATAATAATAATTATTGAGAAGAATTCAAATATTCAAATTATACATTTTTTATAATAGAATTTCTTTCATAAATCTTTTACTGTAAAATTCATTTCGTTACAATATTTTCCTTTATTTCGAAAGATGAGAAGAAAATTTTTTTATTTCGTGTCCAAGTTTCATTTACAATTTTCTTAATAATAGTTTTACTTTTATTACATTTTTTTACAATAAAATCTTTCCTATTGTAATTTTTTTATCATACAACTTTTTTTTTGTATAATTCAAATTGAAAGTGTCGCTCATTGTTTATTTGTTTTAAAATATCTTAAAAAGTTGAATTTTACGATTTCAATGAAATTTTTTTAACACAGTCTTGACTTTATATTTTTTTCCACTTTGAGTGACTTTATATTTTTTTCCACTTTGAGTGTTAGATAGTTTGAGAGACAAGTCTGTTTACTTTATTTTTAAAAAGAAATTAAAAAATAAATTTTAACGACCATATTAAGAAGTTTTTATGATTTCTATTTTCTACCAATAGAATTACGTGAACTTTGTTCTTTAAATAGTTGCTAATATTTAACTTTACAATCCACGTTTTTTTTATGAGAAGAAAACTTTTTTTTTATTTCGTGTCCAAGTTTTATTTTACAAATTTAATTATTCATGAGAAAATATAGGAATTAAGTTACTTTGACAATATTGTTTTTTTCCTTTTTTATAACAAATCTAAATTGTCTTGAATTTCTTATTATTATTTATTATTTTATTTTCATAAAATAATTACTAAAATTTGACTTTTATGGAAAACTAATATTTTTCTCGCTCAATAATAATTAATCAATCAGAAAAAAATTTACGATCGTTTAAAATGAAATAAATTCAAAATGCAAATTAAAGAAGAACTTTTTTTATTCCCAGATCAGTCGTTTTATTTAAATCATGTTATATAGATATTTTCCATTTTTCGTTATATGGTGTGTATAAATTTTTTAGGAAGCCTTATCTCTCTTGTATTTATATTTTCACACACACATAAAAAATATAGGGAAAGAAGCAATTTTTTTTCGATTTGTATTCAGACACTAAACTTGGCTTGAAAATTAGTATTCACCAAAGCATATCATGAGTAAGGATAAAATAGAATTCATCCTCGGAAAGTGAGTTTCATTGCAGTCAAACTTATGTATATATATATATGAAAGACTTCATTGACTTGTGCAAGAAGGTTTAATTAAAATTCTCCTTATAGAAGAGATATGTTATATTGCTTTTTGCACTTTGACTTTTAATTTCAATTAATCCAACTCTCCACTAGTTTTAATGTATACACACAAGAAATTTTAAATACGGACAAAATGGTCAAAATTAAATACAAAAAATAGTCACTATTTTTTATATTTTTCTTTTTTAGATTTATGACACTAAAAGCAATTTAAAAAAAATTTTTTTGAGGAAATTTGCAACACTTTAAATTTGTTAATAGTTGAAATAAAAAATAAAATTCTAAAAATTGTAATGAAATTCTTTAAAACAATTCAATTATTCTCAAGAACTTTTCGAAAATCAATTATTTTCAATATCAATACAATTTTAATAAAATTCCACAAAAGATTTTTGATAAAATTCTTCGCAAACATTCAATTCTTTTAGAAGTTAATAAAATTATCACAGAAATTGAATTATTTAAAATATATTATAAAATTTTTCGATGAAAATCAATTTAAAAACTTTTTATAAAATTCTACCGCGAGAATTCAATTATTTTTACAAGCAATAATATTTTTCAGGAAAATTCAATTATTTATAAAAATTTAAATAAAATTCCAGACAAGAATAAAAATTATTTTCGCATAAATAATAAAATGCTTCTCAAGAATTCAATTACCTATAGTTTTAAAGATTTTTTTTAATTCTTCACAAGAATTCAATTATTTTCTAAAATAATAAAAATTTCCACAAGAATTCAATTATTTTTATAAATAATAATATTCTTTTTCGAAATTCATTTATTTTCATAAATAATAAAATTCTTCTGAAAAATTCATTTATTTTTTAAAAAATTCATAAATTCTCTCTTTAATTTTTCAAAATTATTCAATTATTATTCAATTATTATTCAATTATTATCCCAAATAATAAAATTTTTCATGAGAATGCAATTAAAAAAAATAAATAAATTAAATTCTTCACAAGAATTAAATTATTTTTCCAAATATTAAAATTTTCACGTGAATTCAATTATTTAAAAAGAATTAAAATTATTCGCAGGAATTCAATTATTTTCATAAATTATAATTATTTTTCAAAAACTAAAAAATAAATAAATTCGGGAATTCTTTTTTTAATTCTTCACAATATATTCAATTATTTTCCCAAATAATAAAAATTTTAACGAGAATTCAATTATACTTAAAAAAAATAAATAAAAAATTCTTCACAATTATTCAATTATTAAAAAAAAAAAAACATTGAATAAAATTCTTTGGCAAAAAATTCAGTTATTTTTATAAATAATAAAATTCTCCAGAAAAATTTAATTAGTTTTCAAAAAATTGATAAATTTTTTCTCTAATTCTTCACAATTATTTAATTATTTTAAAAAATAACATTCTTCGCAAAAATTCAATTATTTTCCCAAATAATAAAAATTTTAACAAGAATTTAATTACTTAAAAAAATAAATAAAATTCTTCACAATTATTCAATTATTTAAAAAAAAAACATTGAATAAAATTCTTCGGCAAAAATTCAATTATTTTTTTATAAATAAATTAAATTCTTCTGAGAAATTCAATTATTTTTCAAAATGTTGATAAACTTTTTCTCTAATTCTTCACAATTATTTAAATATTTAAAAAAAAATTAATAACATTCTTCGCAAAAATTCAATTATTTTTATAAATTAAAATAATTTTTCAAAAAATTGATAAATTAATCTTGAATTATTTTTTTAATTCTTCACAATATATTCAATTATTTTCCCAAATAATAAAAATTTTAACGAGAATTTAATTACTTAAAAAAATAAATAAAATTCTTCACAATTATTCAATTATTTAAAAAAAAACATTGAATAAAATTCTTCGGCAAAAATTCAATTATTTTTTTATAAATAAATTAAATTCTTCTGAGAAATTCAATTATTTTTCAAAATGTTGATAAACTTTTTCTCTAATTCTTCACAATTATTTAAATATTTAAAAAAAAATTAATAACATTCTTCGCAAAAATTCAATTATTTTCATAAATTATAATTATTTTTCAAAAAATTGATAAATTCCTGAATTATTTTGTTAAATTGAAATTGTTGAAAATTTTAATTGTTGTAAAACTGTAATAACATTTATATTTTTACTTAGAAAAATTATTAATTTATTTTCTTAATTCCTGGGAAGAATTTAAATTAAATTTTATTAAATAATTTTATTTGTTTACTTTTAAAAATTAATTTTAAATACAATTATTTTTTTAGGATAAAAATTTAGAAATTAGAAAATAATTGAATTTTTCAAAAATTTAAATTAAACATCTTATCAGGATTAGAATAAAAATAAATATTTTTATATGAAATTAAGAAACAACCAGGGAAGTAGGTATTGAATCAAATTTTTGTGAATCGACTAAAACAATTTTTTTTTTGTTCTTTAAAATTAATTTTAGATTTCAACTTTTATTCTACTTTTTTTCAGTATTAAAGCTTCTTTTTAATACTTTTTTAAAATAAATGATTGAGTGTGAAGCCTGAAAATGGTCAAAAATAAAATACAAAAAATGGTCAAAATTAAATGCAGAAAATGGTTATAATAAAATATTGAAAGTGGTCAAAATTAAAGACACAAAATGGTGACAATTTTCTGTATTTAATTGTGACCATTTTTTTTACTTTATATTGATTTTCTTTTTATTTTAATTAAATTCACAAAATGGTCAAAAATAAAATACAGAAAATGGTCAAAATTAAATTCACAAAAAATGGTAAAAATAAAATACAAAATATGGTCAAAATTAAGTACACAAAATGATCACAGTCAAATACAAATAATGGTCAAAATAAAGTACAGAAAATGGTCAAAATAAAATACAAAATTGGCAGAATTAAGTACAGAAAATTGTCAAAATTAAATTTACAAAATGGTCAATATAAAATTCACAAAATGATCAAAATAAATAAGTTTGAATAAAATACTTAAGATTCAACTTCATAAACTAAAAAAAATTAATTGAGGAAAAAGTGTGCGAGAAATGCTTCTTGTTTTTTTTCTTTATCGTTTGAGGAAAATAATCTGGAATATTCGCGCTGGCAAAATTTATTTCCCTAGTAAGATGAAAGTGCCTGAAGCGAAAATTTTTTTGTTTTGCATTTCCACTTTTACTTTCCTCTTCTTGTTTTTCCTTTTTTTTTAATTCTTCTTTTAGCCCAGGGTGGCTGGTTCAGATGAACGAGAAACAGGATTCATCGGTGATTTGATTATCGGATTGAGGCGTGCAGACGAAACTGTTTTTCGTCGTACAGTCCAAGTATCAAATCCAACCAAACGAGTTTATAGAACTACAATATCTCTGAACGTTAACAATGGTATGTTCTTCTAACTTTATAATTAAAACAAAAAAAAAAGGAGAAAAAAATCTCCCATCTGAAAATAATTCCAAAAGAAAAATTTTAATCTTCCGCAATATTTTTTTTAATTAAAAAAAATAAAATTTCCGTAAAAGAAGAAAAAAAAAATTGGTATTAAAATATAAGATTTTAATTTTTTAAATTTTTTTAATAAAAAAATCGAAAAAACAGTTTAGGAACGATAAGATGAAGAAATTTTTTTACTGGATCATAATAAGATAATGATTTATTCATAAAAGAAAATTCAATGCTATCATACGAGTAAATGACGTACGAAAAAAATGTTCAAGATTTTATATTATGAATAAAAGAAGAGTTTTTCTTTAAAAAAAAAAGGTAAAGAGTGAAAAAATTCAATAGTTGAAATTAGGTAAAAGGAATTGGATAGGTAAAAAAAAATAATTTACTACTGAAAAAAATTACATTGTTTGGATTATATGAGATGATTGAATTATTATCAGAAAATAAATTTTCTTTCTTTTCTCGAATTTTACTGTATAGTGATAACCTCATAAGTAGATATTCTGAAATCCAATAAAGTACGTTTCAAGCTTTTTCCAATATTTTTCATGGTATATAGAGAAAGAGAGTGTGAGAGAGAGAGAGAGCTCGTAAAGGAGCTTCACCTTCATTTCTTTGCTTGATGCTTGTAACACGGTTTTTTTTATGAATACATTCCTGTTTGTTTGTTCATTAATAAAATACCAATTTATTATCACGATTCTTCTTTGAATCCGTATTTATTCACTATTAATTGTCTCGTTAATAACGCATTGTTCTATATAAAAGTGAAAGAATTTTGTTTCTAAAATATTTTTGTTTTTGTTTCTCTTCATTTTTCTATTTTATTTTTCTTTAATTTTAATTTTTAATTTTTTTAATATGGAAATTTAGATTTTATTTTTTTATTTTTAGAATTGGGAAGTTTAATTAAAAAAAATTAAAGTTTGCTATAAATTAGGAAAAGTTTACTGAAAAGTAATAAAAGTTTGATAAAAAAATTAGGAAAAGTTTACTAAAAGTTTACTAAAAAAAGTGATAAAAGTTAACTAAAAATTACTACAAGTTTACTAAAAAGTTTGCTGAAAATTAGAAAAAATTTACTAAAAGTAATAAAAGTTTGCTAAAAATTACTAAAAGTTTACTAAAAATTACGAAATGTTTACTGAAAGATCCTTTATATTATAAAAGTTTGCTAAAAATTTCCAAAATTTTACTAAAAAGAACAAAACATTTCCTGGAAGTTTACTCAAAAATTTAAAAGTGTTGTCTAGAAATTAAGAGAAGTTTACTGAAAGTTTAATAAAAGGTAAAAGTTTGCTAAAAGTTTACTGAAAAGTGATAAAAGTTTGCTAAAAATTAGGAAAAGTTTACTAAAAGGTAATAAAAGTTTGCTAAAAATTACTACAAGTTTACAAAAAAGTTTATAAAAGTTTGCTAAAAATTACTGAAAGTTTAATAAAAATTTACTAAAAAGTAATAAAAGTTTGCTAAAAATTAGGTAAAGTTTACTAAAAATTCACTAAAAAGTAATAAAAGTTTGCTAAAAATTAGGTAAAGTTTACTAAAAATTCACTAAAAAGTAATAAAAGTTTACTAAAAATTAGGTAAAGTTTACTAAAAAGTAATAAAAGTTTGCTAAAAACTACTACAAGTTTACAAAAAAGTTTATAAAAGTTTGCTAAAAATTAGGTAAAGTTTACTAAAAATTCACTAAAAAGTAATAAAAGTTTACTAAAAATTAGGTAAAGTTTACTAAAAAGTAATAAAAGTTTGCTAAAAATTAGGAAAAGTTTACTAAAATGTAATAAAAGTTTGCTAAAAATTACTATACGTTCACTAAAAATTCCTGAAATTTTACTAAAAATGACGAAATGTTTACTGAAAGATCACTAATAAATTATGAAAGTTTATACTAAAAATTAACAAAAGTTAAGTTACAATTTCCAAAAGTTTACTAAAAGTTTAATATTACAATTTCCATAATTTTACTAAAAATAACAAAACATTTGCTGAAAGTTTACTAAAAAGTAATAAAAGTTTGCTAAAAATTAGGAAATGTTTACTAAAAGGTAATAGAAGTTGGCTAAAAATTACTACAAGTTTACTAAAAAGTAATAAAGTTTGCAAAAAATTAAAAAAAGTTTACTAAAAGTTTACTGAAAGTAATAAAAGTTTACTAAAAATTACGAAATGTCTACTGAAAAATCACTAATAAATTATGAAACTTTGCTAAAAATTAACAAAAATTCAGTTAAAATTTCTAACAGTTTACTAAAAGTTTAATATTAAAATTTCCAAAATTTTACTAAAAATAGCAAAACATTTGCTGGAAGTTTACTAAAAAGTATTAAAAGTTTGCTAAAAATTAGAAAAAGTTTATTAAAAGTTTGCTAATAATTAGAAAAAGTTTATTAAAAGTTTACTAAAAGTAATAAAAGTTTGTTAAAATCTAGGAAAAGTTTACTAAAAGGTAGTAAAAGTTTGCAAAAAATGACTAACAGTTTACTAAAAATTCCTGAAATTTTTCTAAAAATGACGAAATGTTTACTGAAAGTTTACTAAATAAAAAATAATAAAACTTTAATAAAAAATGACTAAAAGTTTACTCGAAATTACTTAAAGCTTGCTGAAAATATTACGAAAAGTTTAAAACTATTAAAGTTCAAAAATTCACTAAAATTTATCGACAAAAATATTTAAAAAATTAAATTCAAAATATTCTAATTACAATGAATAATTAGTGGCTCACTTTTGCCAAAAATTCAAAATTCACAAACAAAATATTAAATTCCACTTGAGAGAGCTGTTTTCAATAATTTTCATCTATTTAATACGATCTACTAATTTCGCGTAAACTACACATTACATTCGTAGGTTTATTATTACTATTACTTTATTATTATCGTTATTAAACTTTCAGTGAAGACCCAATAAATTATTTGATAAACTATAGTAGTCGTAAATACAACATTTGGCATTAATCAAAGTTCAATTACAGAAATAATTCCAATAATTCATGTGAAATTGAAATTCTCAATATATTACAAACATTTATATCGTATATATATACATAAATTAGCGAAGTTTTGTTTATTTTAAGAACATGTTTATTTAAAGGCTATTGCCTAATAATTCAAAATGCCAAATAATTCCTCTTAAAATCCAAATAATGCTAAAAATGTCGTTCATTAATTTCCATTAATTTTTCAATTAGTCGTCATTTTTACTAAAAATTTGATTATTCATTAATTTTTAAACTCTTTTGGACTAGTTTTAATTTTTCTGCTACATTTTTATTTTTTTAGTGAGAAACTTTAAGGAAATTAGTTTTTACATAAATTAAATTTGTAGTAACTTTTCACAAAACTTTTATGCAAAATTACGAAAAAAATTTTTTGGTTTAGTACAAATGTTAACTAATTTAATTTAGTCACGAACTTTTAAATTAGTAAATTTTACTAATAGACAGTTTTTTCTACTAATTTATTAGTAAAATTTACTAACTCACTAACTTTTTGTTCTTGAATTAATAAATTTTACTAATAACTTAGTAGAAAAAAACTATTTATTAGTTAAATTTTTTTTTCTTGTATAAATAAATTTTACTAATAAATCAGTAGAAAACACTATTTATTAGTAAAATTTTTTGTTCTTGAATTAATAAATTTTACTAATAAATCAGTAGAGAAAACACTATTTATTAGTAAAATTTTTTGTTCTTGAATTAATAAATTTTACTAATAAATTAGTAGAAGACACTATTTATTAGTAAAATTTATTATTTACTTAAAAAATTTTTAAAAAATTTTTACTTTTTTATTTTTTACTTTTATCTTTTTAACTTTTTTTTATTTATTTATTTTTTTTTTATTTATTTTTTTTTGTAAATTAATAAATTTTACTAATAAATTAGTAGGCAACACTATTTATTAGTAAAATTTATTATTTTATGAAAAAAAAAGTTAGTAAGTCAATAAATTTTACTAATAAATCAGTAGAAAACACTATTTATTAGTAAAATTTTTTGTTCTTGAATTAATAAATTTTACTAATAAATTAGTAGAAGACACTATTTATTAGTGAATTTATTTTCTACTTAAAAAATTTTTTTTAATTTTTTACTTTTTTTTATTTATTTATTTTTTTTTTATTTATTTTTTTTGTGAATTAATAAATTTTACTATAAATTTTACTAATAAATTAGTAGGTAACACTATTTATTAGTAAAATTTATTATTTTATGAAAAAAAAGTTAGTAAGTCAATAAATTTTACAAATAAATTAGTAGAAAAAACTGTCTATTAGTTAAATTATTGTATTATTAAAATAAAATTATTTTATTTTTAATTATTAATATAAATTAGTGGAAAACACTATTAGTAAAATTTATTAACTCACTAACTTCTTGCTTTTGAATTAGTAAATTTTACTAATAAATAGTAGTTTCAACTAATTTATTTGTAAAAATTTACTAATTCAAGAGCAAAAATTTAGTCACTAATTTAAATTAATAAACATTTTTACTATTTTAAATTTAGAGTTTTTTTAGATTTAAAATTAGTTAAATACTAATAATAAGTAGAGTACGATAATATCCTTTCTTAAAAAAGACATGGAGTGGAAAGGTCGAATGTATCGAAAAGTATCGAAGTAAAGAATGGGCAATGAGAATGTAAAATCTTAATAGAAGGGTGTTTTTAAAATTGTTTGTACATGTGAAGGTGGCGCTGCAGTCGTATGTTATTTAAAAAGAGCGCGAATATATAAATTTTATTTTTGTTAAGAGAAAGTACTTCTAATAAATCTTATTTTGCATTGTCAAAAAAACGTCAACATTTCAAATATAAATAAGCAAATTATTAACTGAAAAAATTTGAATATTATTATTAATGAAATAATGGACTTGGACAATGGACATATAAAAACTAGCACCGTAGACGGCCGCTTGCAGCCGTCGGAGGAGCTAGTATAATAATAATAGAGGGGCTGGATGCTATATTAAATGAATAATAAATATTTATTAATAATAAATAAATTATTATTATTATTATTATTATTATTATTATTATTATTATTATTATTATTATTATTATTATTATTATTATTATTATTATTATTATTATTATAAATAAATTATAAATAACTAATAATAAATTAGAAGACAATTGATTATTTGTCAAAATTTACTAACAAATTACCAGACAATTTTTTAAAATCATTTTTTTTTAGCTTTTATTAGTAAATTACTTTATTATTTATTAGTAATTTTTTTTAACCTTTGAAATTGTAGTTAATTTAACCTTTGAAATTATAGTTAATTTAATTTTTGAAATTATAGTTAATTTAATTTTAACTAATGAACAAAACTGACGTAAAAATATAACTTTCTACTTATTTATTACAGTAAATTTTAAATAATTGAAAAAAGCAAAATGTCAGTAAATGTAACAACTTATCAAAAATTGAAAATTAGTTAAAATTTTCTCTGCAAAATTCATATATAAGTAGATTATCGTAAAATGAAATTTCGCGGTATATTTGTAATTGCTTTTGTATTTAAATCTCATGTGGATCAAGAAATTTTGGAAAGTGATGAATATTTGATTGAAAACAATACGCATGAGTAAATACGAGAGCAATATGTTTGAATTGCTTTGTATACAAAATATGAGCAGATATATGATGTATATATATATATATATATATATATATGTGTTTGTATGTATAAATAATGTTGTTTGTATATATATGGATGCAGGGATTATACACCATTTGAGCGTATTCAATGAAAGGGGCAGCTTCGCTGTGGTCTGCGACGAACCGTATACTCTCGGAAATTCCAGAAGCAGCTTTAACGTCCGGGTGCCGCCAAATACAGAGTCCGCGCTCACGCTAATTGTCGCTGCTCACTAGGAGACAATTCACTGAACAATGAACACATTGCCCTCGATTTTCAAGTCATTCATTACTTTCTTCTCATTTCTTATTGTTTTTTCCTTTTTTTTTTTAAATCAATTTTTTACTAGTTATTTTTTATATCTTTGTGACAAAATGATTTTATATACTCACTTGTGGTTCAAATAAAAAAAGCCGTATCTACACTTCTTATTTATTATAACCTCTTCTTCATAACTAATTTTACTAAATTTTCTACATTATAAAACAAAAATCTTATTATTTTTGTCAAAAATTGTTTTAACTTCTTTAAAATTATTTTCATCATTTCAATTCGGTGGGGGGTCAATTTTCCCAAAATTTTTTTCCCAAAAAAAATTATTCTCAAAAAATGTTTTCCCAATATTATATTTCCCAAAAAAAAAAAAAAAAATTTACCAAGCAAATCATTTTTCCCAATATTTTATTTCCCAAAAAAAATAATCCAACATTGATCACCAATTTGTTTGAACTAGAATTTATTTTAAAAAATTTTCAAACTAGAATTTACTCAAACTATTATTTTTTCAAATTACAATTTATTTAAATTATTATTTTTTCAAACAAAAATTTATTGTAACTATTATTTTTTCGAAATAGAATTTACTCAAACTATATTAATTTTTCAAACTAGAATTTATTGAAATTAGTCTTATTTTTCGAAATTTGAAACTATTAATTTGTCGAACTAGAATTTATTCAAACTACAATTTTTTTTTACAACTATTATTTTTTCAAACTACAATTTATTAAAAGTATTTTTTTTTAAACAAAAATTTATTGAAACTAATATTTTTTCGAAAAAGAATTTACTCAAATTATTGTTTTTTTCGAAATTAGAATTTTTTCAAAATACTATTTATATTTATTCAAACTATTATTTTTTTAAATTAAAATTTATTCAAAATAGAATTTACTGAAACTATAATTTTTCAAACCATAATTTATTCAAACTATTGTTTTATCGAAATAAAATTTATTGGAAAATATTTTTTCAAACTAGAATTTACTGAAACTATTATTTTTTCAAAGTTGAAATTTCAATTAAAGGTTATTTAAGTAAAAAATCCTTAAAAATTTGTATTATAATTTAATTTTTGTAATATTTTTACAATATTCTGGAACTAAGTGAAAATAATTATTGTTGGACATTTTTGAATGCAAACAAATTTTTTAAATAGAATTGTATTCGGAAATTCTTCAATTAAATAAATATATAAGAAAATAAAAACTTAAAATAATTTTAAATTTTTTGAAAATAATTAAATTCTTTTGATGAATATTCCTATTTATGAAAAAAATTATTTCTAAAAATTGCAATTTACTAGTAAATTTGCTCCAAAATTCAATTATTATTTAAAACTTTAAGTTAAATTAATTTTTAAATCAACTTTTATTAGAAATTTTTATAAAAATTCAATTATTTAAGAAGAATTTTATAAAATAAGTTTCAAACAATTGATTTTTTTGAAAAAATTTATGCAAATTCTGTTTTTAATTATTGAATTCTTGTGAGATTTTCATTATTTTTGAAAATAATTCAATATTCGTGTAGTATTTTGTCGAAATTGTTTATTAAATAATTTGAATACTTTTGGGAAATTTTATTAAAATAGTAAATATTAAAAATTATTTAATTGAAGCAAATTTTTGAAAATAATTGAAAATTTGTCACGAATTTTATTAAAATTTATGAAAATAATTGAATTTTATTACTTTTAAAAATAATTGAATTTCTGTGATGAATATTGTTTTATTTAAGAAAATAATTGAATTTTACAATGAATTTTATCGAAATTCCTGAATTTTGTTTTTTAGTTGTTTTTTTCTTGTAATTTTGATTTTTTCCTTCTTTTCTTTTTTTTAATTTTTATCTCTTTATTTATATACAAAACTCTCGTTTTTATTTATTCGATAAAATTTAATTTTCACCTTTTTTTTGTTATTTGTTCACGAAAAATAAAACCATTTTAAAATAAATGTCAAAATCAATCAAATTCGTTTTCATAAAAATGCTTTTCATTCATTCTAGGCAGTCCATTAGTTTCCACTGTTGTTCGTACTCTCGATAATCCAATTTTTGATGGTTGTTTACATTTTTTTTTTTTTTGACCTTTTACTTTGTTCAATTTTTTTATAATTTAAAATTCACTATTTAATTGATGTGTATATGTTTTTTTTCTGACTATAGTTTATTAACAGTGTTTTCCAATCACAAAAAGAGTTTGCCAATTAAAAAAGTACAAAGTGAGTCCAATAAAAAACTTATTGTTTTTTTTAGTTTAAAAAAAAAAAATAAATAAATAAATAAAAAATCGCACAACTTTAGTAAAGAAATAAACTGTAAAATAAAAATAACTTTCAAAAATAACTTAAAAAATACATAATTTAAAAAATTACTTTCAATAATAACTTTCAAAAATAACTTTCAAAAACAAGTTAAAAATAATTTAAGAAAATAACTATAAAAAATAACTTTTAAAAACAAGTTAAAAAATAACTTAAGAAAATAACTTTCAAAAACAGCTTAAAAAATAACTTTTAAAAATAACTTTCAAAAACAGCTTAAAAAATAACTTTTAAAAATAACTTTCAAAAATAACTTTCAAAAACAGCTTAAAAAATAACTTTTAAAAATAACTTTCAAAAATAACTTTCAAAAATAACTTTCAAAAACAGCTTAAAAAATAACTTTTAAAAATAACTTTCAAAAATAACTTTCAAAAACAGCTTAAAAAATAACTTTTAAAAATAACTTTCAAAAATAACTTTCAAAAACAGCTTAAAAAATAACTTTTAAAAATAACTTTCAAAAATAACTTTCAAAAACAGCTTAAAAAATAACTTTTAAAAATAACTTTCAAAAATAACTTTTAAAAATAACTTTTAAAAATAACTTTCAAAAATAACTTTTAAAAATAACTTTTAAAAATAACTTTCAAAAATAACTTTCAAAAACAGCTTAAAAAATAACTTTTAAAAATAACTTTCAAAAATAACTTTCAAAAATAATTTTTGTGTTCATTAAAAAGAAGAGAATACGTCAATAAAATTTTATTCACAACTCGTCTAATTAATCAGAAACAAAAACTTTTACTTTTACTTTCACGTACACTTGAACTTGAGGGTGGAGCGAAAAACTTTATTTCTTGCTAAAAAAAAAGAAAATAAACTGACTGTATTTCTTCTTTATTTTATTGTTTCAAATTGCTTGAAATTTCAAAAATAAATCTAAATAATTATGTTAATATTTGAAATTTATTTAATTAAACAATTCTTTATAATTAATTTCACATGTATGATACAGTATAGTAAATTTTAATTAACTAACTTTACATTAATTATTTTTCAAAAATAGCGATAATCAAACACATACCGTTTAATTACAACAAATATCAATATTCCAATAATATATGAAAATTATAATTGATATATTAAATATTCCCAAATTTATGAAGGTAATTATTGTCACTTTAAATTCAGTGAAAGTTTATCAAGTCTATTAATGAAAATAGCTTTGGGTTAAGAGGAGGAGGTGGGGTGAGAGTGAAAATGATCTATAGTGATTGGTTAGTGGTGGTGTATCAGCCAACAAATTAATTTACCCCTCCGCACGTGAAATAACTGTGGTCGACTCCTGAATTATCAGGACATTTGCTATTGCACACGTGGCAGATTGTATGGCATCGTTTGCAAATTTAAGCACATTATATGTATATATATATATTGTAGCAAGTGAGGGGGGGGGGGGGAAGGAGTCGAGTAAAGAGGGTGTAATCATTCATCGAAGAGATGCAAGTCTCGTTTATGATCGATGCCCTCGAGGCGTTTGCCTATTCTTGGGGCAAATCCAGTGAGGAAGGTGGATTGGTGAGAAATTGACTCGTAACACGGTTATCGTTATTATATACCTTACCTCCTCCTTTTCGCTATATTTTATGTATAAGAACCGGGAATTAAGTGCTTTGGAAAATTTGCAGTGGACTGCTGTTTTTACGGTATTATTAGAATGTTATTATTTCTTTATTTGACTTATTACCCCATTATTACACTTTTTACCAATATTTGTCTATTATTACCCCGATTATTACACTTATGATCAATTTTAGACTATTATTACCCCATCATTATCCTTTTGGCCAATGTTAGACCATTATTACCCCATTATTACACTTTTGGCAAATGTTAGATTATTATTACCCCATTATTATGTTTGTGGACATTATTACCCTATTATTACACCTTTGACCAATATTAGACCATTATTACCCCATTATTACACTTATGGTCAATATTAGACCATTATTACTCCATCATTACATTTATGGACAATATTAGACTATTATTACCCCATTTATACACGTTAGACCCCATTATTACACTTATGACCAATATTAGACTATTATAACCCCATTTATACACGTTTGGCCAATATTAGACCATTATTACACTTTTGGTCAATATTATACTACTATTACCCCACTATTACACTTTTAGCCAATGCTAGACTATTATTACCCCATTATTCCACTTTTGGTCAGAGTTAGACCATTATTACCCCATTTGTACACTTTACGCCAATATTAGACCATTATTACCCCATTACACTTTTTTTTACACTTTTTACATATATTACACTTTTGACCAATATTAGACTATTATTACCCCATTTGTACACTTTTGGCCAATATTAGACCATTATTACCCCATTATTACACTTTTAACAAATATTAGACTCACAGTTTATCTGCAGATACCAAATTGAGACAAAATGTGCTACTATTACCCCATTATGAATATAACTATATTCATTTACTTCTTCTGCACTAATACGAACGCCGAGGAAATAAATATTGCAATTGTGCCCATCTCTCTCTTATATTTTGTCAAAAATGTATCGTCGTGGGAAATTTCTCGCTCGACTGCTGCCAATTCGCATTAACCATTATTACAGTGATTGATCTTTTTGAACTTATGCCAAAATCTTTGGCCCTTTAATCGAGTTCTACATTCGATTCACAAGGGACTCGTTATGATTTTCTTTATTTTCTATTTTTAGGCTAAAATTTCCGACAATTTAAAATTTTAAATTCTATTTTCAAATTTAAAGAATTTTTTTTCCAGTGAAGAAATAGTGGAAAATTTTTTGTGGTATTATTAATATCGA